GCAAGCTGGATATTCTGATTTTTTTGCGGTGGCAGGCTCCCCAGCTGAACTTCTTGACTTTTTCTTTGCGTCAGGCTCCCAGAAGCGAAAAAATGTGACAGCCTGACAAGCGGGATGAGCTTGACGTTTTATGCGGTGGCAGGCTCAGCATGAGCGTGGCAGTTAAAACTAACCTCTTTAACCTTTTTTTTGCGCGGTGGCAGGACCTCCAGGTTGAAAATGTTCGACAAGCTGCAAGCTGGATATTCTTGAAGTTTTGCGGTGGGCAGGCTCACCCGGGGGATAAGTGTGGCGGTTGAAAGATGAACCTTTTTTGCTCTTTTTTTTGGCGGTGGCAAGCTCCCAGGTGAAAATGTGACAGCTGCAAGCTGCCTATTCTTGACGTTTTGCGGTGGCAGGCTCCCAGATGAGTGTGGCAGTTGAAAACTAAACCTTCTTTACTTTTTTTTTCGGTGGCAGGCTCCCAGGTGAAAATGTGACAGCTGCAAGCTGCCTATTCTTGACGGTTTTGCGGTGGCAGGCCCCTAGATGAGTGTGGCAGTTGAAAACAAAACCTTCTTTACCTTTTTTTTGCGGTGGCAGGCTCCCAGGTGAAAATGTGACAGCTGCAAGCTGGATATTCTTGACGTTTTTGCGGTGGCAGGCTCCCAGATGAAAATGCGACACTTGCAAGCTACACCTTCTGTGGTTTTTTGCGGTGGCAGGTTCCCAGATGAGTGCGTCAGTTGAAAGCTGAACCTTCTTAACCTTTTTTTTTGCGGTGGCAGACTCCCAGGTGAAAATGTGCATTTTTGCGGTGGCAGGCCCCCAGATGAGTGCAGCAGTTGAAAGCTGGACCTTTTTTTTTTCCCGGCGACAGGTTGTAACATTCGCTTCGGGGTCCTGGTATGAGGTTGTGGTATGAGGCAGGCCCTTGCGTAGCAACGTAGTGCGTATAGAGTTGTTTCTTCTACCAAAACAAGTTCCTGTTGCTGCAGCTGCGATAATGTCTACCTGATCTGTTCTTGTTGTTTCTGGCAAGCAGAACTGGCGATGAGGGATGATTTAACGTTGGGCTAAGGTGCTTAAACGTTCAAGATACCACAAAAGGTTTTGGTTCATTTTGACAGCAGAACGGTGGTCATGGAAGTCCAAAACATCTAAGGAGTGTGTAACAACTCACCTGCCGAATGGACGCAAGGGTTGCGATGCAGCTTTTGGCGTGAGCCTCAAATTTTTGTGGAAGGAGTGGGCCGTTTTTGGCAAGCAGAACTGGCGATGAGGGATGAATTTAACGTTGGGCTAAGGTGCTTAAACGTTCAAGATACCACAAAAGGTTTTGGTTCATTTTGACAGCAGAACGGTGGTCATGGAAGTCCAAAACATCTAAGGAGTGTGTAACAACTCACCTGCCGAATGGACGCCAGGGTTGCGATGCAGCTTTTGGCGTGAGCCTCAAATTTTTGTGGAAGAAGTGGGCCGTTTTTGGCAAGCAGAACTGGCGATGAGGGATGAATTTAACGTTGGGCTAAGGTGCTTAAATGTTCCAGATGCCACAACAGGTTTTCTTCATTTTGACAGCAGAACGGTGGTCATGGAAGTCCAATACATCTAAGGAGCGTGTAACAACTCACCTGCCGAATGGACGCCAGGGTTGCGATGCAGCTTTTGGCGTGAGCCTGAGCGAACCAGCCTCTCGTGCAAATGTTTGTGGAAGAAGGGGGCCGTTTTTTGGCAAGCAGAACTGGCGATGAGGGATGAATTTAACGTTGGGCTAAGGTGCTCAAACGTTCCAGATGCCACAACAGGTTTTTCTTCATTTTGACAGCAGAACGGTGGTCATGGAAGTCCAAAACATCTAAGGAGTGTGTAACAACTCACCTGCCGAATGGACGCCAGGGTTGCGATGCAGCTTTTGGCGTGAGCCTGAGCGAATCAGCCTCTCGTGCAAATGCTTGTGGAAGAAGTGGGCCGTTTTTGGCAAGCAGAAATGGCGATGAGGGATGAATTTAACGTTGGGCTAAGGTGCTTAAACGTTCAAGATACCACAAAGGTTTTTGTTCATTTTGATAGCAGAACGGTGGTCATGGAAGTCCAAAACATCGAATCTAAGGAGTGTGTAACAACTCACCTGCCGAATGGACGCAAGGGTTGCGATGCAGCTTTTGGCGTGAGCCTGAGCGAATCAGCCTCTCGTGCAAATTTTTGTGGAAGAAGTGGGCCGTTTTTGGCAAGCAGAACTGGCGATGAGGGATGAATTTAACGTTGGGCTAAGGTGATTAAACGTTCAAGATACCACAAAAAGTTTTGGTTCAATTTGAATAGATATAGATGTAGATGTAGATGTAGATATAGATATAGATATATGTGTGGCCCACAAGAATATGGTTGTAAAATGATCTACATGCGTTCAAAGGTAATAAGAGAGAACGAAATATATTTGACATTTTGATCTGGCAATCTTCTGGCATGGCTGCAGCTCAAAACAAATTCTGACCGCTCAAAGTCAGTGCGTGGCAGGCCCATTTTAATTTGGATATGCTGCTGTTGATTTTTGACCAAAATTACAATCAAAAAAGCACTGCCAAAAAATCATGCCAGTTAAAATGGAATATTGTTTTGTGACAACAAGATACTAGTTTTCGCTTAATTTCTCTAGATCCATGTCTTTTTGGTCACCAACGCTAGTGAAAAAGGGATGCACCTTTCAAGAACAAAACCTGGGAAGCTGAGGCCAATTAAAATGGAATATAGTTTTGTGACACCAAGTTTCCAGATGATTGTTTTGTTTTTTGGCTGAATTTCTTTAGATGCATGTTTTTCGTCGCAAATGCTTTAGACAAATGAATGCAGTTTGCCAGAACAAAACCGGGGCGATCTGGCAGCTTGATGTCACAAGACTATATGCCATTTTAATTGGCTCCAACCGCCCAAGTTTTGTTCGTGAAAGGTGCATCCCTTTTTCACTAGCGTTTGTAACCAAAAACAACGCGTCTAAAGAAATAAGGGGAAAACATCGAAAAAACAATCTGGAAACTTGGCGTCACAAAAATATACTCCATTTTAATTGGCCCCAGCGCCCCAAGGTTGTGTTCTTGAAGGGTGCATCCCTTTTTCACTAGCGTTTGTGACCAAGAAACACGTATCTGAAGAAATCAAACGAAAAAATGCGACAAAATGATCTGGCAGCTTGGTGTCACAAGACTATATGCCATTTTAATTGGCCCCAAGCGCCACAATTTTGTTCTTGAAAGATGCATCTCTTTTTCACTAGCGTTTGTGATCAAAAACAATGCATCGTAAAAAACCGAAAAAATCGAACAGAAACATCTGGAAACTTGGTGTCACAAAAATATACTCCATTTTAATTGGCCCCAGCGCCCCAAGGTTGTCTTCTTGAAAGGTGCATCGCTTTTTCACTTAAATTTGTGACCAAGAAACACGCATCTAAAGAAATCAAGCGAAAAAATGCGACAAAATGATCTGGCAGCTTGGTGTCACAAGACTATATGCCATTTTAATTGGCCCCAACCGCCAAAATTTTGTTCTTGAAAGATGCATCTCTTTTTCACTAGCGTTTGTGATCAAAAACAATGCATCGTAAAAAAACCGAAAAAATCGAAAAAAAAATCTGGAAACTTGGTGTCACAAGACTATACTCCATTTTAATTGGCCCCAAGGTGCATCCCTTTTTCACTAGCGTTTGTGACCAAGAAACGCGCATCTAAAGAAATCAAGCGAAAAAATGCGACAAAATGATCTGGCAGCTTGGTGTCACAAGACTATATGCCATTTTAATTGGCCCCAACCGCCAAAATTTTGTTCTTTAAAGATGCATCTCTTTTTCACTAGCGTTTGTGATCAAAAACAATGCATCGTAAAAAAACCGAAAAAATCGAACAGAAACATCTGGAAACTTGGCGTCACAAAAATATACTCCATTTTAATTGGCCCCAGCGCCCCAAGGCTGTGTTCTTGAAAGGTGCATCCCTTTTTCACTTAAATTTGTGACCAAGAAACACGCATCTAAAGAAATCAAGCGAAAAAATGCGACAAAATGATTTGGCAGCTTGGTGTCACAAGACTATATGCCATGTTAATTGGCCCCAACCGCCCAAGTTTTGTTCGTGAAAGGTGCATCCCTTTTTCACTAGCGTTTGTAACCAAAAACAACGCATCTAAAGAAATAAGGGGAAAACATCGAAAAAACAATCTGGAAACTTGGTTTCACAAAACTATACTCCATTTTAATTGGCCCCAGCGCCCCAGGTTGTGTTCTTGAAGGGTGCATCCCTTTTTCACTAGCGTTTGTGACCAAGAAACACGTATCTGAAGAAATCAAACGAAAAAATGCGACAAAATGATCTGGCAGCTTGGTGTCACAAGACTATATGCCATTTTAATTGGCCCCAAGCGCCACAATTTTGTTCTTGAAAGATGCATCTCTTTTTCACTAGCGTTTGTGATCAAAAACAATGCATCGTAAAAAAACCGAAAAAATCGAACAAAAACATCTGGAAACTTGGTGTCACAAAATGTGAGTTTGACAGCTTCAGGTACCGATACCCCTGCATCCATGTACCCTACTAAACACCACAGCTGTCAGGTTGATCACACGCCGTGGCTGTCTGGCTCCGGTGCCCCTTAGAAGCTTCTTTGGCCAATAGCGGCTTCATGCCATAGGCGTGCGGTGGCAACTGCACTGACTGGCCGGACGGGCCATAGCAAAAGGGTGGAAAAGTCCGCCGTGCACAAATCGAGAAGTGTAACTGTGCCTTTGAAACTTGTGGCTGAAGCGACTTGGCTACCGACATTGGTAGCGGAGCCTGAGCGTGACAGGCCAGGCTCGGGCTCCAGGACTTTCTGGGTGCCCTGGACTACTTCCTGCAGTTGTTGGAGACCCTCTACTCCTTGGACGTCACCTTCACCCCAGCTCTACAAGCTCTTCGGGCAGTGCTTGGACTTCTCCTTCCTGGTGGTCTTCTACGTGGACACTTTGCGTCACTTCGAGACCTTTGACGATGACGACCTTGTCTGCGAAGGACATCGTAGTGACCTGGGATGGTGAGCCTAGCACTTGGGCAGACTATAGCCGCAAGGTACGACTCCAATGGGAGAAGACGGAAAAGTGGAAGCGCAAGCTTCTAGGACCTGAGTTGGCTTCCCGACTCTCAGGTCGTGCTTGGGCGGTGGTTCCGTCCTTGGATCATCGCTTGCTGCAGAAGAAGAACGGCACCAAGTACCTCTTACAATTTCTCAGAGATCGGTTGTGCCGCACTGCTGTTCCAGATGCTGGCGCAAAACTTGAGGAACTCTTCATCAAGATGAAGCGTCCAGCAGGAATGACAATGAGCGAATGGGCCAACCAGGTTCAAGAGTCTTACAGAAAGGTTCAGAGAGCCTTGGTGCGAGCAAGACAAGTGAGCAAGCGAGAACCTCCAGGACAAGCTGTTGGATCGACTGCAACGCGATCCGAACCTCAAGCTGAACCACCGAGTCCACAGAGAGGAAGACCTACACCGAGAACTTCCCCACCTCCATCACCACCGACTTCTCCGAAGGAGACACCACAAGATCGAGGAGCACAACTTTCTGGACAAGATGACGGTCGTGGTGGAGTACTTCATCCAGAACAAGGAGGATATGATCAAGTACCTCAAGAAGATCCTTCTGAACCAGGACAACAAGAATGGACGGATGATGAATGGCGTCAATGGCATCGCCAACGTCGAGGTGGTTATGATGATGGAGCTTCTTCGTCTTCGGGCGAGGACTTTGCATGGGATGAACTGGAAGTCGAAGAAGTGCATGTCCTCCCAGACGAGATTCTGGGATGGCTGCTTTTGAGAAGGGCTAACCTGAGTTCAGCCAACAGGTTAGCGGTGCAAAGCAGTGTCCAGAACAGCCTGTTCTTTCGGGACATCGAGAATGCGCTGAGAGATCAAGAGGAGGAGCTGCTTCAAGCAGATCAACATCGACTTCCCCATCGCAAGAGGACTTACTGGGTAGAAGATCAAGGTGTTTGGGGTCTACTTGTGTCTGAGGATGCAGTGGATGATGCCGCTACAGAGATTCACTGGGTTGGATCCCATCTCCCTGCGGAGGTCTATGTCCCTGAGTATGCCGACGAGGAGAACGAAGAAGCTGAGGAGATTCACTGGTCCTATGACTACGATGGTTGGCATGGCCATGTTCAAGATGTCTACGGCGTTTGGTTTGAGACTGATGGCTTTGGAACCTACTGGAATGAGGATGACTACTCCGACCTGACACCGGAGCAGACGAAAGAGTTGGACGAGGCCTAAGCGGTCTATGAGAACAAGATGAGGACATTCCAGCAGTCCAGACAGTTCCAAAGAGCGAAGGGCAAGAGCCGTGGTTTCTATCCCATTAAGATGATGAAAGGCAAAGGCAAAAGCAAGAGCAAGAAGGGCAAAGGAAAAGCGAGTGGCACAGGACCTTCATCACCTACCAGCAGGCCTATGTTCATGACTCAGTCATCGAACTCTGAGGTGATGAATGTCTCTGGCAACAACAATGGTGGCTGCTTCATCTGTGGAGAGAAAGGACATGGCTTCAGAACATGTCCAAAGAGATCTGATAACCGAAGTCAAGGTCCTCCCTCATCGTCTTCAAGACCAATGAGGAAGGGCGCATACTGGGTGGAGTCATTGACACCCAGCTCTTTGGACACCGTGTTCATGGCCACTCCGGAGGATGAGAACGAGGCACAGAATGACTTGCAGACTGAGGAGAACTTCAACGTGGACTTTGTCAACGACGAGCACGACAAGCCGATCCTGGACACCTTCAACCTGGAGAACACCTTCAACGTTGTCTCCGTCCTCAACATTCCGGAAGAGGAGAAGCCAGAGCACTGCATCTACATGACGGAGGATGCAGAGGTGATCAACGACACCACTGGCTACGGTGTCCTGGATTTGGGGGCCACTGAGACGGTGTGTTCCCTTGAGGCTCTTGAAGGTCTCATGCAACGTCGAGCTCAAGTACATGGCATTGCAGAACCTGTTGAGGTTTTCTCTGGAAGGGATGCCACAAAACCTTTCCGATTTGGCAATGGAGCAACTCAGGTATCTTCTTCCTTTGTGAGGGTGCCTCAGAGACTTGGCGACCAGATGGTGAAGTTAGGTCTTTTCACCTTGGATGCCGAACGTGTCCCCATTTTGCTGGGCATGAGAACTCTTCATCGCCTTGGCACTATCATAGATGTGAGCGGCCGGTGGATGGTGCTTTCACGAGTTGCACCGTCAGTGAAGATCCCACTCGGCAAAAGTCGTGCTGGACACCTTTTGGTCGACCTCACTTGTGACTGGCTCAAAACGAGTCAACCTTTACAAGATGACTTTGATGCGAAGGCGGCATACATGGTGCAGCCGCTCAGTGAACTACACACTACATGTTCAACCTCATGCACGTTGCACACTTCATGCACAACATCATGTGACCGTTTGTCATCAGTTGTAGATGAAGTTGCAAGGGTTTCAGAAGCTTTAGCATGGGTTGTCAGTGAGGCCGAAGGTGAATCAGGTGAACAGCATGAAGAACATGACTTTGACCCTGCGTTTGTGGTCCACTCAAGTCAGACTTTACAGTCATCGCTGCCTGAAGTGGATCAAAGAATGCGGGACTACATCCTGCGACAACTTGCCCACGACCAAGCGCATCGCACTGCGTTCTCTAGCAATGGCGCCGAAGAAGATGACCCAGAACCTGAACCCCAAGGACGTGGCTCCCCAGACAGAGAAGTACGACTTCACAAGGACGCAGCAGATGAACCCTGCCGATCCGCGGGCTCTGGGAGCTCCGTGTTGGGGCGAGCACACGCCCGCCCGACCGGGGCGAGGCAGTGTGACGGGGTCAAACCGTCACGCGACATGGACGGGGTGCAGTGTATGTCATCTGAGGTTGACATACACGCCGGCGTTTGGGTCCCACGGACTTTGCCGTCAGGCAGGTCCACTGGCGAAGGACGTGGAGGTGCAGGTGGTGGAGAAGAAGCCGGAGAAGGGATCATGCGAGCTGATGGATCGCAAGATCGGGCTGGATGGAGCCGAGCGCTCCCTGGTGAACCGCCTGGAGACGGTCCGCCGGCAGAAGGAGGCATGGCAGCAGGTGCAAGAGAAGAAGAACCTGCACAAGAACCAGTCTTCCAAAGGTTCACCATCGGGCCCAGAAGCATCGGGCCATCAGCCCAAGGCATCACCTTCAACGCCTTCACCAACACCAGCAAGTGGAGCCGGCTATGGGAGCGAGACCATCGACCTGACCATGAATGCGACGCCAGGCAGAAAGGCCAGGAAGCCTCAGGAGTCAGCAGAGGACTTGGAGTACCATCTGCGACAACAGCAACAGGAAGCGGAAGAGTGGACTCAGGTCAGTCCACCGGAATCACCACCATGAACAAGAAGACGTCTTTGGACAAGACGGTGATTCAGGAGGAGCCTAATGTTTCACCGATGACATCTAATTCGACAACGAGTTCTACGACCCGAACTTCGCCCACATCATTGAGGAGTTCCGGGTCCTTGCATATGAGTACACCCTTGGATGGCTATGAGATGGCCGATGACGACACTGTACAGAATGACATCAACAGAGCTGTCAAGAAGAAGATGTCGTCCAGTTTTTCACCAGGCATTTTGCCACGCAAGAAGAAGCCGAAGGTTTCAGAGGAGTCAGAAGATCCCGGAGAAGGTCTGCGACTCAGCAAGGAGGAGACTGCATTTCTTGTTGCGGAAGCTGAGACCTATGTGGAGGAGTATGAGGAGCTCTTTCACAGTGTCATGGCCCACCAACAGAAGGAACCCTTCAAGGTGATGGAGATCTGCTGTGAGGAGAACAGTGGTATCACGAAGGCAGTAGAAGCTCTTGGAGGAAAAGGGATAAGGTGTGGTCTCTTCAATGGCTGCGACCTCAACAAGAATGCAGGCTTCAACAAGGTAGTCAAGATGTTGCGGGATGAGAAGCCAGATCTACTTTGGATCTCACTGCCGTGTGGTCCTACCAGCAACATCCAGGAACTCAACATGCTCACCCCTGAAGGCTTCAACAAGGTGCAGGAGAAGGTGAGAAAATCGAAGAGACTTGCAGCTCGTGCAGTACATCTGATGGAGATGCAGGTGGCAGAGAAACGGGATGTTGGCCAAGAATGGCCGCGTTACAACAAGGCTTGGCAGTTCAGGTCCATACAGGGCTTCTGGAGAAGCGTGACAACGTATGAGGCTGCAGTGGATGGCTGCGCCTATGGACTTCGAACTGACGAAGGCCTGATGAAGAAACCCTGGAGGGTAAAATGCACTTCAAAGAACATCTGGCAACTGCAGCGCCTGTGCACTTGCGAAGAGCCACATGTTCCATGTGAAGGAGGTAACCGAACCAGAGCATCAGCGCTCTACCCAAAGGCTATGTGTCAACAGGTGGCCAGGATTGTCAAGAAGATCCATGAGGAACAAGAACAACAAGTCTTTGCTGCGCAGGATTCTTCTGACAACGATCCTGAATGCCTCAAGCAGTTCACTGACCAGGAGCTGATGAGAGTGGCCAGAGAACTGATGAGTCTTCACAAGAAGCTGGGACACCCCAGTCGACAAGCCTTTGTGAAGATGCTGCGTGACAGAGGAGCGTCTTCAATGGTGAGAACCATAGCCTCCAACATGAAGTGCATGGACTGTGAAGAATCCCTGATGCCACCAGCACGCCGAGCTGTGACCCTGGAGCATGCAACCCAACTTTGGGAGGTGTTGCAAGTCGACAACATGGAGTTCACTGTCGACGACACGACCTACCACTTCCAAGTCTTGGTGGACGAGGCTTCAGGCTACGGGGCAGCAAACTTCTTCTTTTCTCATCCTGCCCGAGAAAGCCGTTGCCCTAGTGGCATGGAAGTCCTTCAACATCTACATCAAGGCTGGATCCAGTACTTCGGCTACCCACGATGCATCAAGCTGGACAAGGAGGGTGCCCATCGCAGCAAACTGCTGGATGAATGGGCAGAAGCTCATGGAGTTGAACTTGAAGGAATTCCTGCCGAAGCACATGGACAGATTGGAAAGGTCGAGAGGCTGATTGGAACTTTGAAGAGGAAGTTGTTGGCTCAACTGAGATCTTCATCAGCACCGCCAGAACTGGCAACATGGGCCATGGTGGCAGCACACAACACCATGTCCAATATTGGTGGCTATAGTCCTATGCAATGGGTATTTGGTCGCAATCCCACTGATGGCGATCGACTCCATGATGGACCCGATTTACCCTACTGGGCCGGAATGTCATCAGAGGAGAAGATGCGACAACGTCTTCAACTGCGACTTGATGCTGGACAGAAGCACCAAGAGTTCACGCTGAACGAGAAGATCAAACAGGCCAACAACACCAGGATGCCCAACTTGGTGAATTACCACCCGGGCGACCTTGTCTTCTACAAGCGCTACCAGCCACCTCAAGACAAACAAGAACGTTCTCACATTCCACTTGACATTCCACGGAGGCGTGTGGCTCGTTGGTATGGTCCTGCGAGAGTGCTGGCCATGGAGACCAGAGTCACCTATGATGGAGATGGACGATCTCCCAAACAGATCGCTTGGATCATTGCCTCTGGAAGACTGAAGCGGGTGACTTCCCAACAACTTCGCTTTGCTTCAGAACGAGAACGTGTCGTTGCAGAATCTTCCAGCTCTACCTTGGCTACACCTTGGACGTTTGGAGACCTGACATCGCTGATCAACAAAGGAGAGTTTGATGATGTGACCATGACCCACAAACAAATGGTCAGAGACACTCAGAAGAAGCGAGCCGGTCCCATCACGTCTGGAATTGATCGCTCTGGACAACAGAAGCGGATCTTGGAGGAAGAGCAGGAAGAAGAGGATGCAATGTCAACGGGGCATGGCGAGAACAAGATGCCACGCCTTGAGGATGAGCAAGCTGAGGAGTCCGATGGCTATACACCATCAATTGCTGACACTGTCAAGGACGATGTTGACATTGACCGCCTGCTCAACGACCCCGAGTACATGCCATTTTCTTCACAGAGCTCAGGTCCACTATTTCAACATCCTCAGTTCTTGGAGGCACGTCGCCGCCACGAACGACTGGAACGACCTCACCATGTACAAAGAGGAGAATTCCTACGACATGGAGAAGTTCCAGGTTCTACAGGAGCGCATCACGCTCTCTATATGGATGTGGATGAGACCTTGCCTGCCGGTGACTTCGAGGATTTGGTTTTCGCCGTCACCATCCCCGCTCCAAAGAATGAGGACGAGTGGCGGGCAATTGTGAAGGA